AAAGAAAGAAAGAAAGAAAGAAAGAAATAAAGAAAGAAAGAAGGCAATCAAGCAAGCAAGCAAGGAAGGAAGGGAGGGAGGAAGGAAGAAAGAAAGAAAGACAGAAAGAAAGACAGCAGGGCGAGCGCGCGCGCTTGTGCGCTATGGACGGGCGCGCTTACGCTCCAGAAAGGCGAGGTCAGAGCGCGCTGTGCAAAGAGAAAGACAGAGAAAGAAACACTTAGAGAGAGAGAGAGAGGGAGAGAGAGAGCAGGGCGAGCGCGCGCGTGCTCGTGTGCTATGGACGGCTTACTGGGCTCTTGTCCTCCTCTTGTCCTCTGTGCTGGGCTCTGTGGCTGGGCCTTGTCCTCTTCTTGTCCTCCTTTTGTCCTTGTTTTGGCCGCGCCCCTGAACTCTGTGGCTGGGCTCTGTGGCTGGGCCTTGTTCTCCTCTTGTCCTCCTCTTGTCTTTGTCTTGGCCGCATCCCTGAACTCTGTGGCTGGTCTCTGTGGCCCGGCTTACTGGAGAGGAGTGTGGCCGAACAAATAGCGATGTCAATGCCGACAAAAATTCATTGATGAAGCAGTTTGCTCTTGGGGTGAAATCTAGGGCGTACCAAGAAATCGATTTTTGACTGATATTGGTCTAAACGAATCGTTTTGAAGCTGTTTGGGGTCTATGCTTGTATAATTTATCGTTCTTTTTGCGCCACAAGGGGATCTTAGCCCAACACAAGGGTGCCCAATCATGGCTTTGCTTTTTGAGCCACCTCCTTCAGCTCCTGCATTGCCATAGGCTCTTTGCACCCTCCCTCAGGCCCTGATTCGGGCTTCCTTTTCTTGGGAATCTTTGCTGCGCCCTGGCTGGTTCTGCCAGGGTCAAGCCAGCAGCCCTGGCCTGTGCGATGAGCGTCTTGCCTTCTTCCACAGAACGCTTGTTTTTGCTGATCGAACTCAGCAAGTTCTGTGCCACATCCTTTTCAGGATTGGCTTTCTCCATCCTTGAAATGAAAATGGTTGCAGGAGCATTGAGGAGCTTCAGGCAACCCAAGCAATCACCCAAACCTTAGCCAGCCAACATTCCAGATTACACACCATTGCTCCTGATGGGTTTTACCATCATGCACAAGCCTTCTGCAAGCTCATGATGCAAGTGTGTGCAAGCCTTCTTCAGGCTTTGCCAGGCTGTATGCCCTTCATTCCTGGCCCAAAGCTTGAGAGGAGCCCACTGCTTGTTCAAAGCCTTCAAGTCTGCTTCAGCAGCTTCCTTGTGGGCTTCCAACTCTGCTTCAGGCTTGTATTTCACAGGAAAGCAACCCATGGTTTGCAGCCACTTCTCCTTCTTGGCACCAAATGTACACACCTCTCTGCCAGGCCTCTTCTTCAGTGAGCTCAACAGCTTCCTCTGCCTCGCCTTGTTCAGGCTTGG